TGATAAAGGGACGGGAAAAGAGTAAAGACGAAAGTGAGACAAAGTGATCCGCTTAAATCACTTAAATCCGGTAAAGTTGGGAAGAACCTCTAGCACTTGGACTTGACATGAAGAGAGCGTGAATGCCTTCTCTATGGCTTTTGCATGCATACAGTCCTAATGCTGGAAACTTCAACAGGAGCCCTACCTTCCTCAAGTTCCATTCATGGGACTTCTTTAATATCAGCAGAAAGAGAGATTCTCTCCTCCTTCAGCTGAACCCCTGACCTCCCTGTACAGACCATCCTTCATGGGGCCAATCCACCTCCACTGCAGTGATGTGCACATAGCGCAGATGGGCCCAGACAGCTCGGTACTGGACTGACTTCAGCAAGAACAACCACTCATCTGAGCCAGCATTTGGCAGCTTGGTTCTGAAGCAACCTTAAGCTGTTGAGGAAGGATAAGCCTGCATTTAGAGCACAGCCCCAGGATTAGCAAACACTTGTCTGACTCCTGACTTGCCTTGTTTGAGCTTCCGCAAGCCAGGAATGCCTGAGAAGAAACTACAGCCATACACCGCTCAGCTTCAGGAAGCTGGAGAGCATGTGGAAGAGAAGAGGTGGATTCAATGAAGCAGCACAGCTCCTGTGCACACAGGGGACTCAGCCAAGGCTGTAACAGATGTGTTTTAACCCATGCCACTGAGCTATTTGGGATCTGTCTCCAATTGCTCCAGTGCTCATTCATGTGTCTTCCTGACAGAAGACCAACAATAACAATTAGTATCATATAAGGAGCAGGGGGACTGCTGCCAGCATTAGCACAGCCTTGAGCACCAAAGGTTTCCATTCCACTCTTTATCCCAGCTATGCGCAAGGCAGAGGTCAGTCAACATTAATCAGCCTTGCTCTGGGCCAGCTCCTTCAGCACACTCAGCTTGCTAAGTTGCAGTCACTGTCTCTCCATGCTATGATGGGCTCCCCCTACTCAACACCTTTGCCTCTTTCCTCAAGCTCACCTAAAACAAAGGTATATTCACTGTTAGGCAGCACATGATAGCAGAGGCTAAGCCTGGCCATACTGGAGGTGGCCTTCAGGCTCTACATGGGGTCACGCTGGCCAGGCAGGTTTTGGTGGGTCGTTGCTGTGGATGGGAGCCTTTTGCTGTCATTCTGAAGTCTAACTGTATCATCCCCTTCTATCCAATGGCAGTGCCTTACCTTCATCCCCTAACAAGGGGTTTCCACCTTTCCAGTGCTCCTGGAACACTCTCCCAGCCATAGTCATTGGGCTGGTTCAGGATCCCCCTGGGGAAACCCCATCTGAGCCAGCAAAGGGAATACACAAAGTGGAGGCTCCTTCTCAGCACATGAACGCACTCCAAGGAAAGGCTCTGGAAGGGATCCTGATGACTTCCATATTATTTCCAGTAAATTTTGTGTTGATTCTTGGCACAAACACTGGAAATGAATAGGCTAGGTCAGGAATGTAAATAAAGTGAAACATTAGGATTTCATCTAATCTATAATTATAGTATCTGTGGCACGGGGAAGAAGTTGGTGTGTTTGCACTGCAGCTCCATTGGAGAGCGGGAGGTGGGGTTCATTTCCCTCTCCAGAATTTCCCTTTTTGGCTGAGGGATACTTGGTGTCTCCTCATGTATCTGAAAGAAACGTGCTGGGCTGGCAGAGCTGCTTTCCAGCAGCTGAGCAGGTACAGCCCAGGGAAGAGACATCCCCAGGCACTCATGGAACAATGGGATGAGAAACTGAGATGGATGAGCTGGGCTGAAGGCTCAGGGAGGCTGTGCGATGCACACGGGAAGCTCCTGTCTCTACGGTGAAGAGACTGGTTGGGTCCGTAGGGCGCTGAGCTATGTAAGCTCAGTCCTCAGACCTGTGAGACAAGCCAGAGCCCTTTCTCTTGACAGGGGTTTGGTGCTTGGTGCATCACAAGTGCCCTGTCACAGCACGGTGCTCCCAAACCATCAGTCTGACTGGCATTATCTGCTGCCTACGCTGGCTTGGCCATGTGAGACAAGCACTTAACAGACACATAGACATCTCTCCCTCTGCCCTCCTCACCCCATCCTTGTCCAGATCCACCTGGGAGGAAGCTTGACAGCCTGCTCTGGTCTAGCTGATCTCGGGGGAGGATAATCCCCTCTCCTGTGACGCATTTTGCAAGAATTAAAGACTTTTGGTTTTTAAGAGCTTAAAGCAAACTCATGGCTGCAGGATGGATCCCCGCACATGGGCACTGTGACAGACCAGCAGCAGTGTCCACTCGTGTACATGAACCTGTGGTACCCATCTTTGCTGACATGAACCACTTTCCCTCTGAAAGGCCTCTGTGCAAGGACTAGCATCCCAACCCTAACATACCACAGGCGAGGGCAAGAAAAGAGATGACAGGCAATAGATTTTCATCAGACTGAAATTGCAAAGGACAAAGGAATTAGTTCTCCTTTTGTTAGTTTATGTTTTGAAATTTCAGAAGTCTCAAAAGCAGAGGAATCAATCACGCTCTGTTTATTTATTTGCTTCTAGAGCATTTCTTGGTTTTGTTTTTCATACTCAAGCTCAGCTTTGATCTCAGGCTGGTAAGACTCCAAATAAATGGTCAACAACAGGGTATAATTGCTGTAGGTACTACAAAAGAAAAGGGACAGGATGTCCAACACATTTACAGAGCAGAAGAGACTTCCATGATCTCAAGAGTCCCCTCTCTCAGTTCACATGACACCCTCAGACTACCAAACAAGCAAAAGCATTTGCTTTTGAAGAGCTCTGATGCTGCACCCTGTGTGCTCACCCAACAGCCTAGAGAAAAGCACAGGTCCCTGCTGAGTGGCTATAATCACGATTATACCCAGGCCAGAGCCTTCCAAGATAGCTGTTTTTCCACAGAAACAAATGAAACAAGCAGAAGAAATTCAATTTAAGCAATGACCCCGTGCCTCTGTTTCTGTTGTTGTTCCGTCTGTGCGAGCTCGGAACAGAGTGTTAGCCTCACATTTCACTGTTCTGGCTTTCTTCATGCTGTGTTGCAACTGTGTGGACATCTGAGCAGAGGAATACTTAATGTGTGTGCCGATGTATCTGAGAATGCACACACGCTAAGTAAACACGTGCTGGTTAGGTCCCAGGTTGGAGCAAGCATGTGTGCTGGATCTGCATGCAACCATACCAATGCATTAGACATCTGTATCAGTCCATACGCGTGTGCTGGAGTATGCATATTTGATATTGATGTACATCAATATGATGCCCAGGAGCGTGGGTCCATGCCCCACAAGTGCCAACACAGCCATCTATCCATACACATCTGCCCCTGTATGTGCACTTAAGCATGCACAGCCTTGGGAATGGCATGCCAACCCCTCCTAAGCATTAGCTGCTGGATGGAGCCAGCACTGCGCGCTACCCTAGGGCCTGTCCCCACACGAGGATGTGGTCCAAAGCTCCTCGATGCCAGGGGACTGCTGCCTGCAGCCACAGCTGCCCATGGAAGCTACAGTCCCACACCCAGGCATGCCCACAGAGAGCAGGAGCTGCCCACAGCCACCCCCAGGACATGGGGCATCACCCACTCTGCTTACCCCGTCCGTGGCAATGTGCCTCATGACTGAGAAGCAGAAGCCTGGCTTGGACCAAAGGGATGACAAAACCCTGGACAAAGCTTTCCGCCTTCCACCCAAGGCTCTCCCAGCCCTTTGCAGACATCAGGAATTAGATCACAGAGTCCCTAAAGCGATGGGTGAGTGCAGTTATCCCTGCCTAGCAGATGGAGAAGATGATTTGGCAGCTCAGGCTGCCCAAGAGCCAGACCTTCTGGCTCCCAACTCCGTGCATTCACCTCGGCAGCAGCCTCCCTATCAAACCAAGTGGCTCATCCCTCATCCAGTGCCCTCAGCAGCCAAAAGGCTGAGAGCCCACAACCAGCTGAGTTTATGGGTGGTGTGCTGATAGCAAACTCTGTGATTGCTCCAGCCTCCCCCTGGCACCTTTTCCGAGCAGCCCAGTTCACATAGATACCAATAGTTATACTGATGCATTATGTATATTTAACAAGAAAACATCTAAACCAATTCAATGGCAAGAGGTATCACTTGGAGATGCTCCTGGACACAACCCCACTCAAGAGATGTGCAATAAAAGCTCCTTCTTCAGAGGCTGTCAACATACTGAACTGGGGAGGTGGTGGAGGGGGAGGCAAAGGGAAAGTATTAATCAAGATCTTTAAAAGTTCTCGTTGACAGACCATTTGCCAGCTCTCGTTTTAAATGTTTTTGTGGTCCCATAAAAAGTTTCATTACTCACTACAAAATGCATTTTAATTATTACAGTCCCTCTGACATTAAGCCCTGGGTGTTTCTCTCTTGCTTACTCTGTCTCTCCTCTGTCTCCTTGCCTTTTTTCTCTGTTTCTTTCTCCCTCTAAACAATACTGAAGGAGAAGTTAACATCCAGATCCTGAAATTATCCCGTGGCTTTGGACACTAATTGCTTCACAGGATTCACACAGAGAAGCCAATCACATGTGCTCAAAGAACATCTCAGAAGACGCAAGAACATCGGCACAGGGGTGGCCACCATCCCTGCAAAAGTAACTGGGTGGTGGGGAGATGGATTTGGTGACTCTCTGATCTGCTGTATGTATCCTGATATAAACAGCAACTTCCATAAACATCACCTATCACTCTTCTGACATCTGGCTATTCCAGTCCACCAGGCATTTGACAACTTGCTTCAATCTGACCACGTAAGCTCAGCTCATCCATGACACATAACCCTATCCATGAGGCATGAAAGAATACTGAAATATGTGAGTTATTCCAGTTATTCCCTCAGACTCCCAGTGCCTCCAGTGCTGTAGACACTGGTTTTCCATTCCAACAGCCCAAACCAAGAGTCTCATCATCTGGTGCAACATAGCATTGACCAAAAAAGTCAGTAACAATAATAGCATTGGAGACCCCTCCTTGCCCACAGCACCTCCCCACGTGCCTCTCCTTACTTGTAGAGACCATCTGGTTCCAGGCACTTGAAAATGACTGAATAGATGCTGGTTTCAGGGACATCTCCATGGCTCCTACCCGCTGCCACACAGGATGTTGCAAGGCCAGAAAGCAAATCATCCGCAAAGCTCAGGGATTCTCCTGGAGAGCAAAGAGATGAGCATCAATACAGGTGCAAGATTATTGCTGACCATTTAAAAACCACTGTAGGAACACCTCTACATAGGACAGGCAATCAACACACTCTAGCTGTGGTAAGAATGGCCCCAAATCTATATGGAATATGTCACCTGTGGACAAAGCAAGTAGAAAACACTAGAGCCATCAGCTGATATGGACCGACTGGAGAATCATAGAATCATAGAATAGTTCGGGTTGGAAAGGACCTTAAGATCATCAAGCTCCAACCCCGCCTGCCATGGGCAGGGACACCTCGCTCTAAACCATATTACCCAAGGCCTCATCCAACCTGGCCTTGAACACTGCCAGAGATGAAGCATTCACAACCTCCCTGGACAACTTATTCCAGTGCCTCACTACCCTAACAGGAAAGAATTTCATCCTTATATCCAACCTAAACTTCCCCTGTTTTAGTTTTAACCCATTACCCCTTGTCCTATCACTACAGTCCCTAATGAAGAGTCCATCCCCAGCATCCCTATAGGCCCCCTTCAGATACTGGAAGGCTGCTATGAGGTCTAAAACCTGCAAAGTCAGTGCTTGGACCACGGAAGGTGCACTCACAGAGCATCCAGGCAACATGCAGACTCCCCGCAAGCTACACATAGGGGACCACCACCCAAGGATGGGCTTTGGGTCCCAGGACAGCTGGAAGCCTGGATAAATAGGGCTCTCCTAGTAGGGACTTCATCTGCAGTCAGTTCTTAAGGGGAACATGGCCTTTCTCAATAATCACTTGAGACACTGATATGTATTTCTGCTGTGTTAGATTATCAGGAAAGAGACATTTTTAGAGCTTGGATGGAATTTCTCTCAATGTGCTGGGGCTTTTTTTTTGTGTGTTTTATTTTTATTCAATGAAAATCAGGAGCTTTGCATTCCCTTTCCTATGCACCCTGCCAGCTCCTGGAGCTCTGACTGGAGCTCCTTCAGCTGGGCTCAGGAGCACTCGCTCCTTTACAAGCTTTTGAAGAAAAAAAAAAAAAACCTAATTAAAAATTATGAAAAACCTTTTTTTTTGCCCCTTGGTCTTCTGGGTTTTAAAGCTTATTAAACACTTAGATCATGACCCAGCTGAAACTGAAAACGCTCCATTTATTAAGCTTTTGGGGCATGATTATCCACTGCCGTGCAACCTGTCTCCTTGCAGTGGGCAGGCTGTCTATCAGTTAGAGCTCATTGCATTCAATTCCCATTTTATATCAATGTAACTGAAAGCCCAAGGTCTCAAGCAGTGAAAAAAGCAAGAGCAGCTGCCCTGGTTGTGCCCCCATTCCCACTGACGGGAATCAGAGAAAGGGCTGCTGCAGCTGACAGAGTTATGCTGGTATAAGCAAACCTGGATGCAGATTGCTGTGCCAGGTACCTTGTGCATGTGTAAATGTCAAGACACCGCAGCAAAGGGAGGAGGAGAATTCCCTTCTCAGCACTTCATATTCCTAAAAGCAAAAGTGGCTGAGGACGACTGAAATGAAGCACAAGTCTGATTTCTTGCTATAGACCCTAAGAAATAACCCAGTGCTATAACCAGCCCAGAAGGTCTCACTGTGTGGCTGGATTACCCAGGTAGGAGAAGAAATCCCCTCCTCCCCAACCCCTCCAAACCACATTGGAGTCTTGTCTCAAAATACACAACTCGGTAACAAATGTCCCCTTTGGCTAGAGAAAAGAGCAGTAATAAATTCTTTTCCTCCCTAAAGGAATCCAAGCCTTAATTATTCATTTTAATGCTCCCAGCATGACTTGTTCTTTCCAAACTTTTTTTTCAGGCAACTCTGTCACCAATCTCTGTAGTTTAACCCAGTTCCCAGCCATGGTCCATACCAAATCCCAAGTCAACCCAATGGGCAGGTTGGGTTGGCAATGGTAAAATCACTGCTTGAAAGTCATGAGTACTGAATGGCCTTGAGCAAGCCCCTTAGCTCTGGGTTTATGGTTTAAACAAACAAACAGAACCCTATTGCTCATTTCCAACTTTCATTTCCATCCCTTTTCATATGACGTTGGGCTGGATTGGGGAACTCCCTGTCACCAGAACTCATTGAGAACAGACACTGCCGTGACTTACAAACCAGATGAATCACAAACACATAACAAAGGACCAGACTGTGCTGCTGAACTGGAGCAAGAACTCTTAAGCCTCTTCAGACCACAAGAAACCTCTCTTCTGACCAGAAGGAAACTTCACAGGGGGAACATCATCCCACAGGGGCCTGCTGTGGGATCTCACACCTTCCTCCAGAGCACTCAGCGTTGAGAAGCAGTCAGTGAGGGGTAGGAAAGAGAGAAGCTGGGCAGAGAGACCATGATGAGCAACTGGACAAGACCAAGTGGAGATTTGGACTGGCAGTGCATGGATACCAGGGGCATCAGTCAGGACATCTGTGCCAGGAGCAGAAGAGATGGGGCAGGAGAGAAAAACCCAGGGTTGAGACAGGGAGTGCAGAGGGTGGAAATGGACATACAGAGGACTGGAAAGGGGGTGGAAAATGTCATGTTCAACCAGTGACTTTAAGAATGTATTATAACTGCAGTGCTAACTCTGTAAGGCACCCACTACTTTCTGAGTGCTCATCTTCCATGGTCTTCCTGTGCAGCTTTGAGGGGAACAGCGTTGCAGTGAGCACTGCCCTGAAACACAGTGGCAGCTCCATCACACAGTGGTTTGCTGTGGACCAAACCTGAAGACTGTTGCATTGCTGTCCCCCTGCATGCAAGGAAATGGAGCTCTCAGTGTCCACTAACACAAGCCAAAACCCTTGCAATAAGATCCTTATGCAAGATGGTGTTTAGTGTTCAACCCTGAACCTCCGGGGAACTTTCCCCTCTCATTGGACCTGCCACAATCAAGCAGAAGCAAAGAGGTTGTTATGAAAACAGCAAAACAGATGCTAGCAAAGGTGCTGAAACCTCAGCCCCAAGGCTGGGAGTCTTTCTGCACCTGTATAAGCAGCAGTGAGGTTGCTGGCTGTACCAGACTGCACAGACCATGGAGCAAAGATGGAGTGGGTAAAGGATGTCCCAGGGACAAACTGACTGCCCACAGCTGTGAACCCACAGTGAATGTGGGGAGCTGCTTTGCTGTGTTCTGCCCTGGGTGAAGCAGAGCACACAGCGACATCTTTCACAAAAGAAGTCAGAGGCTGTTATTCAGTCCATGGTGCTCTGAGAGAAATCTCCTAAGCCTTCTCCAGGGCCAGAAAACAAGTTATTCCCTAGATTTAGACTGGATCCTAGTCATTGGAATGTCACTAAGGCAATGAGTGCTTTTGCTGGCATTCCAAGAGGATAATGGAGCACTAACGTTGTCCTGTCAAGGAAAAGTGGTCTTGGGATGTAGCACTAGAGGAATACCAACCTAACTGCACAAGGCCATGGTGAGAGCTCAGTATGTAACATTGCTCATCTGTGCTTAAGAACAAGGCATGGGGAAAGCAGGAGAGAAGGCTTCACAAGGAAGTAACAAAAAACTATGCAAGGAGAGACATAAAATGACCAAGTGGAGATACAGAACCCTGTTAATACATCTACAGGGCAGGCACTCAGATGGAAAATAAATATTTAGGCTAATGGGCAGTAATGGCAAGAGAAAGTAAATTGGATATGAATAAACAGGCTACTCCTGAGAAGGGCAAATAACATAACTATCTTTTAAGGAGTTTGATCACTTTATAAAGGGGATTATATGGATAAGTGCTGGAAGTAAAGGGGCTTCTCTTTCCCATCTGGACTTGTGTTCGCACACAGCCCGCCAGCAAATATAAAGAAGGATTTCAGCCTCCCCAAGCAGCACTGAAGCACAAACCTTGTAGATTGGTATCTTTGCTTGTGTTATTAAATTTCAGAAGGAATCCAAAGGTTCTCTGCAGAGTAAATGATAGCTAAATAGATCATCTCTGTGGAGCAGAAGATATTTTATTGACCAGACAGCCATCTGTGTCCTTCATTAATAGTAATAAATAATTGATGTCACACTAAATAAAGCAACAAGCTGTTACAGATATCAAGGAAAAACGACCAGCTCCTGTGAGGATCCCTCACCTGTGTTCACTTCTCAGTAGTGACAAATCCAGACCAGAGCTCAACCATCACTGTGGTAAGTGCTGTGCACAGAGCAAAAGATGCCACTTGCTGCACACTGCTTATAGGTAAAAGCACAATTGTGCTCAGCAATGGGATGCTGATACTCCCAACTGCACATCAAATCTCTGCAAGAATCTCTCCATACCACTGCCTTCCCAGCGCTGGTCTGCCCCAAACCATTCAATTCCTCAGGTAGCTTCTGAAAATCAACCTCTGCTCTACAACTGACGATGATGAAGATGCAGCTCCCTCCAGGTAGCATTTTCCTTCTGTCTCTAGTGCAACCCCCTCACTACTGCCTCATCCTGTTCTGCACACATGCTGTGGAGTTTGGCAAACATCCTCTTTGTTTTTGTAAACATGCATCTTATGCTGATGCTGGTGTTGTGTGGGTGAGAGCTTGCCCTAAAACAGAGGAAAATAACAGCAGAGATTGCAGTGGGGTGGGACGGGCTAATCCCACTTTATGAAGCTTTGCAAACTTCTGGCCACAGTGAGGTATATAGGTCCATCCACCGGTGATGGCTCTCAGATACCCACCTGGAAACTGAACTTGATGCCTAGTCTGAAGTCTTATTCAGCTGCCTGCCTGCAAGGTTGAGCTGTTAATCTGCTCTTGAATGAGCACATATCTAATGGCTGGAGGTTCAGATGGTCAATGGGGACTGAGGAATGATAATGGGTGGGAGCAGGCTCAGACCACTCGCTCGCAGCATCCAAAAGTCTTGGCCTGTCTTGGTCCTTCGATTGGGAGCATTGTGAGCGCCAGTGGTTAGGATGAGTTAACCATCAACCACCCCACTGAAGACAACACGAGTTACAGACTAAACCAGAGACCAAGGCCAGGAGCCTCCAGGAAACTAGAGATGCGAAAGGAA